GAACTACGCTCTTATAGGATAAGAGCAACATCATAGCATGTGATTTATGCAGCATGTGCTTAACAAATCTACAAATAGTAAGCAAATGATAAGCTCCTTGTGTCATTGCTGTGTGAGTCGGTGAAAGGTATAATACTTCTATTGATGTCTTTTGACTTTGACATTATCATAGAAATATATTTCAGTGTCTGCTACTATAGCATACAACCCATGATGATAATTGATGTAATCTAAGGTATTATGCTAGGAAAGCTGCTACATACTGAAATGATATATGGGCAAAAGGAAGATTTCTTGAAATACACATGCCTATGCTAGTGTCTGAGAGATGTCCCTTATGATTTTTGTTAGTTTTATAAGTGTGGACACTATGCATACAAAGAAGGCAATTTGAGTCTTATATTGGCTCAAGAGGGATTATATTAGCTATAAGAAAGTGTATAAAATAAATCTAGGACATCTGAGGTATAATAAAATTTAACAGAAAGCTACGAGAACAAGCTACACAAAGAATGTTGTCTCGTGCTGATCTTGCAAAAGAGATTTCAAGTACAAACACCTAAAATGAAGACGTCTTGCCCATACGGTTACGGCAAAGCACTTAGTATGCAAAAAGGAAGAGAAGGTGATCCATAATCATTAATCCACCAAGCGTGAGTGGAAGATGTTAGAATAAAACTTAATCCACTCTTGGTGGATGAAGTTAACTTCCCTTAATTTGTCGCTTTGGGGTTACTCCAAAAATTAACCGAATTAATGCAATATAGTGCACAATCCGGGTCGTATTCACTTTGAGGAGCTGAAAATGAAATTAAACCATAGTAAATAAATGCAAGTAACCTAAACTATAAAAAGGGATTTTTGATTTTGAAAAACTGTTAATTAAATACTACGAATCAAATTGAAATTAAATACCTTTTTTTTGTTTTTATATAAAAGTGATTAAAATGAATGAAGATTAAAGAAATGAAAATGAGACACACAAATAACACTAATAAAAATCAATCCTCCAATTCAACAACGCAGGCAATCATCACTCTAAAAGATATGGGAATTAAAACAATGAATTAAGAATTATAATTAAGCTTTTAATCCAACAACCGAGCCACCTCAAATTGCCACAAAATATTTTTCTAAAATCCTAATTTACTAACTGCAACCAGAATAGTAAAATGCGATTAAGGATGCTAAAAACCAATGCTTAATTAGAACTCTTAAATCCAAAATAACAAAGTTATAGCTAGCAAGAGACAATATCATCCAAAATTCCAAATCACCTTAGAAAATCACAATATATTAACTCCAAAATCAATATAAATGTCATAACCACAACATTATAATTGAAATCAAAGTTATAAACAGCCCAATGTCAAATGCTAAACAATAATCCAGTCACAATAATCTCTGCAGATAATCAGATTTAACAATACAAAATAATCAGAATAACTATCCTAAGACTGAGGAATTGTTAAACAATTATTAGACAGGAAATTAAAGTAACTAAACTCCCCTTTGATGATCCGAGCTCCTGCCATTATTGTTGAATTAGAGAATTATGGGACCTTAGCCACGGATTGCCATAAGAGTTGCTGTAATCAAAGTTCTGCTGCAAATTTCCATGGAGGAACACTGTTCACGCCGGGAGAATACGGTGAGGAATTGATGAAGGATGACGCCGACCGTGCTGTTCTGCTCGCTGTTTGTGTGCGCCGCCACTCAGTGTCTCTGTTGCGTCTTGCGTCTTCCCCAGCACCGTCGGCCCTCAGCTCACTCAACACCCGCACTCGTCACTTGTTTCACGCCGTCAGCTCCCTGCTTCGTCGCCGTCGAGCTCACTGCCACCAGTAAGAAGATGACGATGATGATGGTTTTGAATGGAGATGGGAGAGGTGATGATGAGGGATGGATGAGTCTGCCTCTCCACGCCGTCGAGCTCGTCCCGTCTCCTTCGTGTGTTGCTCTGTTTTTTCCGCCGCCGTCCCGCGTGTGTGTTGCTCTGTGTTCAGCTTGTCTTCCGCCTAGATGAAGAAGAAGATTGTAATAATATATATTAGGGGTGGAGCAAAACGCTGCGTTTTGCTCCCCCCTTTATTTTTTTTTAATTTACTTTTTTTGCTTTTCTTTTCTTTTCTTTTTATTTTATTTATTTATTTTCAAAATCTTCCAAAAACCTGCAAGCAAAAATTCAAAGATAAGGTAGCATTAATTGTCCTCAAAAATCAATTAGTTACAATTAAACCAAAATATGACAATTTTGCCCCTATAAAATAATAATTCAAAATAAAACATATTAAATCAATTAATCAATCAATTAAGTTAAAAAAGGACTAATTAAGTTGACAAAACCCATATAAAAGATATCAAAATATATAAAAATAATTGAGTTTGTCAGTGGATTAAATCCAAGCTCAAGAGGCTTTGGATCCAATTGTAACTTACTAAAAGATTAGGATAGATATTAATAAAATACCCAATTTTTATTTGAATTTTGGTAGGAACCGTTATTTATGAGCGGGACTATGCGCATATCTTGATAGATATGCGCATGATGAGAAAAAAATTGCAGAGTAACTGCTCTTTCTCACCTCTGAAAGTCTTCTTCCCAAAACTCTTCCCATCTGTGCATTTGCTATAAACCATAAGTATGTGTCCATACCTATGAACAGACTTCGTGGAGGCAAAAAGCATACCGAATATCACCTGCCTCCAGTTTCGTCCAAAAACACAATATTAAATTTCTTCACTGCTCATATAACAAATTTCATCGCCATACATACACCAATCTGTGCATACAAACCAATAAAAACTTGAGTAACTATCATCACCCCCTCATCGAGACACACGGTGTATGGGGTGACAAGTCTGAGGCCAACAAATAATCGCTTAGAAGGCAGGTGAGAGCCATACCCATGCCTATAGATAGCAGCCCCAACACAAATCTGTGTTTGAGAGGAACCCCACTTACACGCAAGAGGGCAGCACACAGAGATGCCACAAAAGAGATGGTATTATAGTTTATAAAATAGTCAAATCGACGTCTCTCAGTACAAGCAAGTACGACTTTTCCGGCACATAAGTAGCGCTGCGCCAATATCTATCTTGGACCGGCAAGCAGCCGAGGGGTGCGTAGCCATTGAGAGAAGTATTGTTACTGGAAGTGAGGTTAAAATCAGCATCACTGGGTCTGATATTCTGTTGGATGAGGCCTCCTAGAGGGTTAAATGCAGCTTCAAAGGTTATGGTTGAGATGACAGTTGCCACCAGACTTAGATTCCCCCTCATTTCTTCTGACCAATCTCCATTATACTTAATCCATTTGTCTATACTTTCCAAAACATTGCTCCATGACCACTTCTTCATTCCACTTCTTTCTTCTCCCCTAGCAATATCAGTCCTTTCTCTCTTTCCACGTATGTCTTCTGTCTTCTATCTTCTTCTGTCAACCAATCATAGCATAAGTCGAAGCTTTGCATTTCAATTTCATCTTTTCCTCCTATTTAAATATTTCAAACTTGAGGTTAAAGTCAAATTATCTGTAATATCATAATAATAATAATAAATGAATTATTGTTGTAGAATTATAACCGGCCGGGGTGGGATCATTCGAAGATAGGGCTCCATTTCCTTCCTTATAACCCATTGGCCCGAAATTTCTTCAATTTTTCCTCCATTGACCCTATCATCCATTTGCTAATGACTTAATTTGCCGGTGATTCAACTATTGGGAAAAGTCAGCAAACTATCTAAAGGGACTAAACTATAAACTGAAAACTATAGCCATTTTTCGTATCAGTACTCGTTAATAAATTAAATAGGCAAACTAGCTAGCTATATGGCAAAGTTTACATATGTATTTTTTTAATTCAATTTTTATCCCAGTTTGCAAAATATCATCAAGTGAACAGCATCTGTCATGCTTTATAACACAAGGAAATGGCACCAATACTCCAGATTTAACGTTTCAGCCTATAAATAATTCACGGAAAATATAACCTCTTCATGTAACAAGAAAACTGTGTGTGTGCAGACATAAAAGGAAGAATAACATCAATCAGACCTCCACTTGCTTGGACAACGGTGTTTCCCACTCCATCAGAACTCTTGAAGTGAAGAAGCCTCAAAGAAATGGGAACTTCCAATTCCACCAAACCCTTGAGAGTCTCCAAATGATTGTGTATCACACATAAGTGAAATACAGTGTTTCCATTACCAACAAAGCTCAGAGACTCAGGCTTCGCTTTTACCAACTCTTTCACAACCTCTATTCTCCCTCTGATAACTGCATAATGCAAAGGAATTTTGCCCTCTTCATTAGGAAACAAGCATGGCTTGTTATTAACTTTAGGCAGTTCCTTCGCAATTTCGATGTGACCTTCTGCAGGAGCCAAGTGGAGGGGTGTGTTCTGGGAAGAGTAAACCTCAATGGCTAGTTTGGATTTGTATGTGAGATGCGGCTTGTTGGATTCAAGCTGGCCAAGCAAAGCTGATATGTGTAAAGGAGTTTCGGAGAAGCCACTTTGTGAGATCTTGTGGAGGATTAATTGTTCTTTATGCAAAGTGAGTTCAACGTTGATACAGACCCTTTGGTTGACGCTTCATAAAGAACGCTCAATCTGTCCTCGTCACCATGAGAATTCCCCATTTTGATTATAATCGTCTCTCTTGCTCTCTTGCGTGAATGCCAAAGGCGTAGTTATGCTTCATCTATATACATAATAAATAAAAATCAGAGTATAGCCGAGCCATTTTTCTGTCCACAATGGCTCCTCACTCATTTTACTGTTCTATGAACAGTGTCGGCTTTATGAACAGTACTGGCTGCTTCTTTGGGCTTTGTGCAAGGTATGACTTCTCTTTGATTTGTTGCAGTATAACTTACTCGTAAAATTATCTCTTTTGAATTTTAAATTTTGAAATTCCCTCCATGGTCATGTTCATTGATTCATTATTTCGTCTCCCTCTTTCATTTTCTACATTTTTTTCATTTTCATCTTGAGTCGTCTCCGTTCTTTCTTCTTTTCTCTTCATCTCTATCTCCTTTCATCAAGAGAGATTTGTTTCCTTCTTATCCATTCAGGTACACATCTCCGTTCTCCCTCGCTTTCTTTTCATCTCTTTTGGCTCTCTCTTACAGTGGATTCATCATCTCCCCTGCTCTTCATTCAAAACGATGTTCATCATGCTTTTAAAATGCAGACTATGATAGAAGGCAGAGAGTGGATATGCCAAAACTATAAACCTGATGGCTTAAGTAGCAGTGGTTTGAGCGGCCATGCTACCAGGTATATTTCTTCCAGGTAAATCCAAGCAAGATTTCTTTTGGGTTTTTGGATTATTATGCATTTTCAGTTGTTTGGATTTTTATTATAAATATTTTTGCCCTCTTGATGTTTTCCAGGATTTTCTTTTTTCACAAGATCTTCAAAAAAATCTCTGCCATCACACGGTATGGTGACAAGAAAACTGGGATTTGGTCAATACCGTGAGTGCAATTTTATTACTAAATATTCTTCACTTGTGCAACAGTTGGTAATGGACAATGTGTTGTGAGTTATAGTTCCAGGAAGTGTGTTATGGTCTAGCAACTTAGCCATCATTTCCTATATTTTGAATCTCTTAACTGTTGGTTTTAATAAGTCTATGTTTTCATAATAAGTTTTTATCCACTATCTTTTATTTAGGAGTTTCATTAGAGGAAGGGACAGTGATGATTTCTGCATTCTTGCCTCAGAATATGGTGTGAATTCAGCCTTCCCTAATATTTGGTGCCTCAACATCATATGGTCATTACCCCTGGTGCATTTTGTTTCTAAAGCCTTCTCCATTCAAATCCATATCTCATGGCTGCAAGTTAGTTAAAGTTGTTGATCTTTATGTCACCGAAAAATTTTGATGATCTTTAAATTGTTCTTAAATCTAAAATCTCATAATCTAATCAATATTGTGGTTGATGTATAAAAAACTAAATTACGAATCACATCTCTGCTCTATCAATATATATATATTCTATTTGACTTTTGACTCCTGCTATAGCGTAAATTAGGGATAGTATGCAGGGCCTCATTGATTGAATTAATCGCATAGTAGAGATGGATGAAACAACTGACTGAATGTGTATTCTTCCTTTTTGTTAGATAAGGTTACAACTACGGCATGTGATTTGGAATTGAAGGAAACAGAGAGATTAACGGATTTGAAGATCAGTGGAGAGAGAAACAATGATGGGAAAGTGTCTTGCTTTTTTAGCATGGAGTGGTTTGTTGACCAAATCTTCAAATGAGACATTGGAGAAGTTGAAAAAACTTAGAATTAGTGGGTCCAGCTTGCCCAAAGATATTCAACTGTAGTCATATTTGGTTCCTATGTCCATTCTAATGAGTAATTCTCGAGAACAATTAAGTTGAGTTGAAGTAATTTTCTGTACTTTCGATGAGTTGAAATAATGTGCTGTTAATTTTTCATTACTGAGTCTATGCTGTCAAAAATTCTCTAAGAAGTCAATAGCCTTAATCTCTAAGTTATTAATTAGTTGTTTTTGTTTTCTCAGTTGGTGATTTTATCTATCCATCTATAATGTTCTCAATAATCTTATAAGTAGTCTCCTAATTGCGTCAAAAAGAAGATAGCCATTGATTCTCATATTGCTACACTTGAAATATTTAAGTTCTTTCTCTTATATTCTATGTCAATAGGCATCTATATATTTTGTTAAAGTGGTTTATCGTCCTTTGTTCCAAGTTGGTTTGCTTAGGAACCAATCTTTCGTGTTTTGCTGATTGGATTTATCGTTGCATTTTGTTCACATATTAATCAAATACTAACTGATAAGCTTTAAGGTATATTGAATACGTCATACTTATAATTGATAATAAGGAAACTCTTTATTTATTTATTTTTGATAAGAAGGAAACTCTTTATTTATTTATTTTTGATAAGAAGGAAACTCTTTATTTAGGTGACACTGAAACAAGGCAATAGATTTGTCCACAGCTGTGATAGAAGTTTGATAAGTGCAGGTAAATAAATTGGAACGACAAGCAATTATTTGCATTAACTATTGCAAAGTTTTCATTCATTCATCATTCTCCATAACTTCTACTCATAAAATTGAAGTTATGCATAATGTATGAACCAAGTTTGAGAAATGCAAGTCCCTAAATTGAAATGAGGCATTAATTCCTCAATTTTTCCGTCATTATATATTGATTGCATAAAACTTGAGAATGGAAACCTAACTACCCACAGTATTGTTAGAGCAAAGTTTTGATATATATATATATATATATTTAGAGGATAAGTGAAGCTCTCGGGCAATGTCTGCCATGCAATATGTGGAGTACATTTACATAGTCATGGCCCTTTTGTTATGGTTGCTAAATGTGCACCATTATTTTTTGATTCATGTGTTCCTTAAAGTTGGTTATTGACCTTTTTATTTTTAAGGAATTGCACACCCATGGTGCAATTCTGACTATGAAATGGTGCATGTTTTTTCTTGGTTAGCTTGCATGAATTATGTTTCATAAAAAAAGGACTTATATGAATGTAACTTACACTCATTTGTTTTTTTCTTGGTTATGCACTGTTTATGTATTGTTACTCTGTTAAATCTAAAATATAATATCATATCAAACCCATGTTTATATTTCCTAAGATATACTCGGTGAGTAATGTTTACATTAATTATGGTGTTTGAATGTTGTTTTGTTCCTTTTTACCTCTCTAAATTTAAGTTTTAAGTCCCCGCTAAGTTGGTGAATAGGTTGGTGGCCGTACAATGAGCTTTTTCTCCATGAACTTTAGAGCGGGAAATTATTTGTCATTGTGCTAAGCTTTGTGGTCATTCCTCTTCATGTTTTTATGGGTAGCTGTTGGGTTTATTGATTATTTGATATATATTTCTAATATCATTTAGCTCCTTATTTCATGTTTATACAGATTTGTAGCAGGACTAGAGTTTTACATTTAGTATGTAGTTATATCAAGGATCATAAAATTTGAGAGGAAGTCCAGAAGACGATCCTCAATCTTGAGTGAGATCTTGGGCTGCCAACTCATTCCAACTCTGTCAAAGCTATGGTGTTTCATAAATTCAGAATTGTGATCATTATGTTTCAAATAATGTGGAGGCATTAGTAGGTTTAGGAACACAAACTGATATGTCATTTATCGGCCTAAGTATTGAGATAGTATTACATAACATTTTGCTAGAGTTGATTTAAATTTATTTAGAATTACTGATTTTGCTAGAATTGCTTTAAATTTGTTTATAATCATTGATTTTAGTGAAATTAATGCATCCGCGCATCGCGAGGGGTAAATGCTAGTTTTATATACATATATATATATATATATATATATAGACACATGCGGACACATCATTTTGAAAGAATCTGTCAAAGTTTGTTGCGTTGATTTCTTAATGTTCTAATTGGTAATTACTCTAATCGGGTGCGTACTACAACAGAGACCTTTTACTTCTATTCTGAAGGACTTTTTACTTCTTTTTTGAAGGGACATAAATAAGTACCCACATTTCACTTTTGTTTAAACAGATGAGAAAAGTCTGAAAAGGACTACTTTTCACGTCTGTTTTCATAAAAACAAAAGTGAAAGGAGCTACATTTTATTCTGTTTTCTAAAAACAGAAGTCAAAAGTGGCTCTTTTCACTTCTGTTTTGAGAAAAACAGAAGTCAAAAGTGGTTTTTTTAAATAAAAAAAAACAGAGGCATTTTTGTTCGATTGGAAACTCTAAATCTCTTTAAGTCACTTCCAATCCAACAAAAAAAAGTCCTTTACTCAAAAGTCACTATATAAAGAAGATTTATAAATAAAAACATAACAAGTCAAATCACAGCATATATATTAATTGTAGTGTTATATAAATACTCAAAAGTCACAACAATAATGTAACGTGAATGTATCTAATACAAGTAAAATCACAAGGCCATTAGAAAGGACTGATTGAGATCAAAGTGAGTATTGACAGTTATACTTATGGGAAGAATCCATCACTCTTCTTCAAAATTCACGGTCTGGGAAGAATCCATCGCTCTTCTTTAAAATCCACAGTTCACATTGTTCCTTGCAAATCCGTAGTTTTCATGGTTTGGAAATGTGAACTGCATATGAAGGAAAGGAGTATTTTAGAACTAGGAAAACAAATGAAGTTACGCTAGTACAAACTACAATTTAAAACTTCAGCTTGAAAGTAATTTCAACTCATGGCCCAGAACCCATTACGTACAGTTTCAATACATGGCAAAATTCATATGAGAAGGTTCAAGAATTAACAATAATCTCACTACCTTCACAGCTTGCATCTTGTGGCGTCATAGCCAACTTGTTTGTCCAACCTAACAAGAGCTTGCAATTCATAGGCTCACTGCTGCAAACCCGTAGAGTATTGCGCAAACATTTCTTCAATCAACGTTTGACGCTGAAAGTCAACAAGAAGTGAATTAAATTTTTAGCATGAATTTCCATAGATATAACAAGATTTATATTTTCCCTAACAGCCTACACACATGCAAAAGGATTATTTAAACTAATAAATGAATTCTGCTATCAAAGACTTATCAAAGACTTGTATGCTAAGCATGTCCAGGCAGAGGGCAAACGTGATGCAGAGAAATTCAAAATTCAAAATCTAATTTGAAAAAAAAAAAGAAGAAGAAGAGAAAAGGATGTGGACTGGGTTGTTATCAGTTAGGACTCAAAATCAGAAAAGACAACCGACCCAATTTGCATAACAATAACATAAAGACAACCAAATTGTTCTGCCTTCATTATTAAAGAGACATTAAAAAAAATTGAAACAAGAGATCAAATGATCGAAATTTGGTACCTGAAAACATGTGATAAAAAATACTATTATATGAATAAAGAAGTAAACAACAACAATAAAATCTTTTTCAACTAGTACCCAAGGAAGATAGATACAACAGTAATTAAGAAAAGACAAAATGAAGAAACTTACCACTTGGGAGTAACAACAACAAAACTTGAGGAAGCTTCTATAAAGCCTCTACTCAATCACTGTAAACAGGAATGAATGACTTAGGCATATCTTTGACCAACAATTAACAATTAGATTTACTAGCTGCAAGCTCTTCTGTATGAGAGAAAATCATTTTAATATATGCCAAGTAATAGGGAAAACAGGATTGCTAGATAACACAATACCTCGGCCTTTTCTTTGCCCTTCTTATTAGTTAGGACACTAGTACCACACTTTTCTCATGTAATAATTATTAGCTTCCCATTATCTTGTTTCAAAATTAGGAGAACAAAAGTGAATAATAAAAAAGTAGATAACAAAAAAGAAATACAAGCAAAAATGATTAACTTCTCTTTATGAAACAAAATATCTGAACATGTAAACTGATACCAAAAGTAGATTTATGCTTTTAGCCAATAATTCTCGAAAAATATAACCCTTTCTGTAAGAAGAAAACTATATGTATACACATATGTATCAAGATATAGAAGGAAGAATAATATCAATCATACCTTAACTTGCTTGGACGTGACAGCTAAATGGAGAACGGTGTTCCCCACTCCATCGGAACTTGTTAAGTAAAGAAGCTCCCCAGAAATGGCAAGGTCCAATTCCACCAAACCTTTAAGAGTCTCCAGACGATGGTGATTCACACACAAGTCAAATACTGTGCTTCCGTCATCAAGAAAGCTCAGGGACTCAGCCTTCACTTTTACCAACTCTTTCACAACGTCTATTCTCCCTCTGATGATAACTGCATAGTGCAAAGGAATTTCCCCCTTTTCATTAGGAAACAAGCATGGCTTGTTATTAACTTTAAGAAGTTCCTTCACGATCTCGATGTGACCTTCTGCAAAAGCCAAGTGGAGGGGTGTGTTCTTGGAAGAATCAACCTCAATGGCTAGTTTGGGTTTGTATGTGGGAAGCGCCTTGGTGAATTCAAGGTGGCCAAGCAAAGCTGATATGTGCAAAGGAGTTTCGGTGAAGCCACTTCGTGAGATCTTGTGCAGGATTAATGGTTTTTTTTTTTTTTGGTTGCAAAATTGAGTTCAAAGTTGACAAAGACCCTCCGCATGATGCTTCATAAAGAACGCTCAATGTGTCTTCTTCATGATGAGAAGTTCCCATTTTGATTATTGATAGTCTTGCTTGCGTGAATGCCAAAGGTGTAGGTATGCTTCATTATATACATACATATAACACCTAACTTCTATATACTAACAGGGTCCTGCTAATGTCTATGAATCACTAAATATTGGGTTTTATCCTAGGAAGAATGGGGTAATTTTTTTTAAAAACACATGAACCATCAAAACAAAATTCTAATGCAAGATTGAACCTGTAAATCACATTAGAATTCTCTATCAAAGAAAGTCAAAACTTTTGAAAACCCCAACCAATGACCTAGAAGCAAACCCTATTCTTACACAACTTAGTAAGAGAGCTGAAGCCTTAATTAACTAACAGGTCATTATCCATAGGTAGAAACAGGGATCAAAGGTTAGTAACGAATATAAATATATAGCTATACCAAAGCCATCTCAATCGATAGC